GGATTTTGCAGTATCCTTCCCCTGGCATGAGGAGGGAATGGAGATTTTACAGTATCCTTCCCCTGGAGTGAGGAGGGAATGGAGATTTTGCAGTAACCTTTCCCTGCCACGCCCACCAAGCCAGGCCCACAGAACTGGCAGTAAAAAAAAATGAATCCCACCACTGGAAGACACTTAAACTTCTTGTCTCCCATTATACTATTTTTAAGAATATTTCCAAAAGGCTTGGGGAAAAAAGGATATTTCACCTAACAAGACTACCCATTTCCTTTGTGAGTCATTCATGAGCAAAGAGATTTCTTGTGCAGTAGCTTACTTTATCTCAAAGGCAAAATATGGGTGTCTCTGAGACAGTTTCGCTTGCAAACCTTTCCGGGTTTCTTTTGTTTTCTGGGAAAACCTATATGGAAAATTCCTACTTTGATTTTAAAAAAAAAACAGGTTTTGCGGAGATTTAACATTTTTATCTACATGGAAGCTTAAAATATTTAGTTGCCTGATTTTTTCCAATGCAAAGATTTTTGTTTCCTGGATAAATCACAGGGCCCAAAGCACTGTGAATAGGAAGATCCATTTTTCATCTTCGGAGAGCAACTGATGGCGATACCTCAAATCCAACAATTGTTTGGAAGTCAGTAAAATCTCAGCTGTAGCTTCCACAAGGGATATGGGGGGCTTCAGGGCCTAGATACCACTCTGCTTTTATGACTTTGTCTGCTAGGAGTGGAAATGGAGGTGGGGAGCAGTGCTCTTAATAAGCTACGCTAAGAAACTGAAAACTCATCTTTTACGGAGTTATAAACATTCCAAGAGGAAGTTTAAACATAGACTCCTACATGGAAATTGTTTGCTGTTCACATTCCTCCTCGGAGCTGCATGGGCTAATCCTCTCTCTCTCTCTCTCTCTCTCCCTCTCTCTGTGCAAAGCCATCCTTCGACACACTTATACCTCCTATGAAATTTAATATTTCTGATTGCTGGAAAAAGCATTTAGATCAAGGAGGAACCTTGGCTCTTAAAAAAAGCTAAAATCGCAATAGAGGAGAAAAACAGCTGTGGGCTGGAGGGCTGAAGAGAGAGAAATATCCACCCATCCAGCTACATCGGCTTATATATCACACTTTCGAAAGGAATCTGGGTTCAAGACAACTAGCATTCTTACCGAGGTATGGGACCAGTACGAGTAGTCAAAGCTGAAGGATTTTGGCGCTTCTTTAGGATTCTTTGGATTCAGGATACCTGAAAGAAACAAACATACACATTTACCATCCAAGAACTCTGGGGAACAATCAGAGCAGGGAATGTACAATTCCTATCTTCTACTGAATAGTTTAAAGTAAAGTATACTTGTCTTCCAAAATGTGACCCATGAAATATATGTCTATTACAAATGTGATGTGCAAAAATGTCATACACTGAAGATGTTACCTAGCTGGGTAGTGAAACGTCTGCAAGGACATAATCAAGTTCAGAGAGTGCCAAGAACTATCATAAACAACAGTAATACTGCCCTCAAGAAAACCACATTTGTTTGAGTTGGGGGGCTGTATAAATAAATATTTCAAATAAATAGAACCAGTATTGCTTGAAAGACTTCTCAAACTGCTAAATAATCCTGCTTGAACCCTATGGATTTGTTAATTTTGTTTCATTTTATCAGCCACTTTATTAGCTTGCTTTTCATATTGGTTCTTGTGGGAAGTCGTCCGAAGTTCTTACCAGATTCCAGTTTTGAAATGCTAGTGAGCTATTCAGGAAATGAATTCATTGATATTTATTTATAAGACTTTCATGGCCACCCATATTAAGAAGCACAACTCCAGGTGGCTCACAACTGCTACATGCAACCCCCCACCACAAAAATAATAGTAAAATAATACAACCAAATGTAGCACAAGAGTCACTGAAATGCTAGGGAAATGCTTGTAAAAATCAAAAGCCTTAAAAAAGAGAGACCTCACTACAAAATAGATACTATTGCCGATGACAGAAGCATAAACTTACAGGAACTCAAAGAAGCAGTTGCTAACACTCAGTGTTGAAGATACTTTATCAGTTACGGTATTTTTCAGACTATAAGACGCACAGGTGTATAAGACGCACCAAGATTTCAAAGAGGTAAGTAAGAAAAAAAAGGTTTTGTCCTCTCAATTTTTTTTTTGCAAAAAACGGGCAGAAAATGGGCCTTTTTTTAAAAAACGAGGGCATTTTTGCTTTCCCCTAGCCCTGCTGAAGCCTGCAGAATGCTTCTGGGGGCTGGGGGAAAACAAAAATGCCTCTGTTTGGGGGGAAACAGCCCATTTCTTGCTCATTTTTCACAAAAATGGGATGCGGGGGTGGGGCTTCGGGAGGCCAAAAATGATTGTATTCGGCGTATAATACGCACCAACATTTCAACGCTCTTTGGGGGGTGGAAGGTGCATCTTATACTCCAAAAAATACAGTATTCAGAAACTGCCGAGCAACAATGAATCAAATTCAATTAGAGGCATATGGGGGGGGATAACATTTGACATAACAGATTTGCAAGGCTGCAGATAAGCACTTTCTACAGTGTGCCAAATGGAGTCAGAATTGTAAAAAAAAAAAAAAAAAATCCACAGAAAGCATGGAGACAGATAAGATGTCAAAAAAGTAGGTCATCCTACCGAGAATTTCTGGATTGGGGAATTTTTCTTTGAACTACAATGAAGACCCAGATTCCCTCCCTCCATCGGAGCCCCACAAAAAAAGCTGGCACACATCAGTAACACACAGCTCAAGGGCTCCTGGGAAGTTCACAGCAGGGCATTTAAACCTATTTGGAAATGCATGTTACAATACGGAGATAAAAGGCTCCTGAATTATGGATTGGTTTTCAGATGCTCAACATCCTATGGAAGAACCAGAGTCAGCAATGAAAAGGGCCCGAGGGAGAAAGTAAAAACACACGAGGGTAGCATATTAAAATGTTCACATAAATGATATCTTTTTTAAAAAGACAGGGAGATCCATTGGCGAATGCTCTGCCCGAGGTCCTAAGGTCTCCAAAAAAATACATTTCTTTGTTTTGCCTCTCGATCTATTGTCATGTTTCTAAGCTGCCCAAATGAGCAGACTCTCAACGCAGCAGATTCGTAACAGAAAAATAAAGGTTTCTGTAATGAAAAAATTACATATCAAAGTTGTGGGGAAAAAATAAGCTTAGAGGTGGCTAAACTTATCCCCCCCCCCCCCACCTTGATATGTAAGCTCACTGCCCAACTATGAAAGAGGAAACAGAAGCGGAAAAAGGCTTAGCAAACGTCTATGGAATTCACATTACTAATTTCTCTCAATTTATATCCTGTGGAAAGTTGGCCAAAATTTCCAGGTGACTTCCTGTACTCTTCGGACAACATGGACTCATTTTTATCATTTAATCTGAATTCATCTTCAAATAATCTATGAATCCGACCGCTGATTCAGTGAAGCATAGTAAAAACACACCATGGCATAAAACAGGGGTTCCCAGTTCTCGGTCCGTGAACCGTCACCAGTCCGCAGCATGACAGAAACTGGACCATACAAACAAGCGAAGCCCCATTCCCAGGATGCAGGCAGCATCCCCCTCTGGTCCACGGGAAAACCTCTCTCCATAGAAAAGGTCCCTGGTACCCAAAAGGTTGGGGGCTGCTGGCTTAAAAGAATGCATGAACGCACCTCTGTGTTCTGAAACAAAACACTTTTTAACAAGCATACAACTTTGGCTTGTTTCACTTAATGATATAAAGGCAGTGCTGTGAAGCAGGGGGACACCCACTGAATTTTTCATTTTGTCTTTCATTCTGTCCTGCATACTGTTGTGGCCCACCAGCAGAGCTGACAGCAGAGTCGGACAGTGAGGAAGTTATTGGGGAGGAGTATGGGCCAGTCCTGGAGTCTGGGAAAGGCTTGGACAAGGGCTCTGTGTCTGAGGCAGAGAGGGGGCCAGGGCTGTATGCCAGTTCTCAGCTGCCTTCAGAGTCAGATGTCAGTGAGGCAGAAGAACAGCTGGAGCCTGTTCCCAGTGTGCGCATGCGCAGAGTTTCCAGAAGAAAAGAACAAATCCAAAATCAGGGTCGACTTGGGAGTAAAGCCACAGGTGGATGATGAATGACCCCTCCCATAGGAAATAAAAGAGGAGTGAAAAGGGAGTGGGCTTGTGCAGGAAACAATGCGTTCATTTGTTCATTCGTTTCAGGAGTGTGAAGATCTGTCCGTGAATCCCAGAGACTCTGTGCCAAGTCTTTCCTTGCACTGCACTGCGTTTGGAAAATATTGACATGGCAGTTTTCCAAGATAGATAAGATCTGTGGTTATAAATTCACCTTTGAAAGACTGTTTACCAGGCCTTGCTGAATGTGAATAAGACTAATTCACATTCGTTTAATAAAAAAGGGTTTTTTGTCAGGACCAGGAATTTGCTTCGTGCTTTTTGGGAAAGCCTAGATCAGAACAGTGGCGTACAAAATTAGGATAGGAAGAAAATGCTGAATAAGCCTAAGCATTTTTTTTTTCCCCAGTGGGGAAAAATGTTCGTTAAAGCAAATCTCGCTTCCTGCAGTGACTTTGTTTGTGGGAACT